TTTAATAAATCTGCATAAATGTCAACAATTCTGTGTTTTTCTGTCAATATGGGGTGCTGTGTGTACATTAATGAGGAAAAAAAATTAACTTAAATGATTTTAGCAAATGGCTGCAATATAACAAAGAGTGAAAAATTTAAGGGGGTCTGAATACTTTCCGTACCCACTGTATATATGTAATTATGCAGGAAATGTTAAACATGAGCATATTTCTGCCGAAATGCACCGGGACTCTTATTTTGAAATGTCTATGCTGTACTGTTGCCTTATGACTGTCTTATGACAGTCTACATCACATTACAATAAAAACACCATAAAGTAACCATTGTCATAATTCATTAGCTGTAGATCATAAGCAGTCTTTTGGCATAAATGCACATTGATTGTCAAACTGTTCTGAAACCGCAAGTCTGTAGAACGTGCAACAGCGCTGCATTTTTACTTTATAACGCGCAGAGCTCAAATTTATTTAATGAAATGAGCCTTTTGAAGTTTATTAATCACATTAGGCTGTATCGCAAATCATTGTTTTCCACCCCGAATTTAAGACCCCTTAAAATGATTAGTAAGATGTTTGTTATAGCGTTTAAGATAATTGCCATTTTTTTTATGACTTGAAATTTCATAAAACTGAAATTTGTAAACTTTTTAAGGACACAAAGTCACAAACAGAAAAGTAGAAATGTAAAAAAGCATAAACAAATACAACTATATTTCTTATTGGCTGCTTTTCATAACCCCCAGACTGGTCATTAAATGTAATGGGAAGAGTAACTGCAGTGTGTATTGTAATAATAAGTGTTTGTCTTCATTCAGGGGTGCCATTCGTAATGCTTGTCAGATGTTAATGATTTTGGGCTTGGAAGGACGGTCGGTTTATGAAGAGGATTTCGAGGCCCCGTTCTTAGAAATGTCTGCTGAATTCTTCCAGGTTGGTAAAGCAAGATTACACTTTATTGCGTTTCTATTTCTCTATCCGCTGCTTTGTAGTTTGTGTCACAGTGAATGTGTATATTAGCATTTAATAGTAAAAGTTGACCCAAAAAAATGAAAATCTGAAGCTGCTTATCAGTGGTATCATTTACTTACTGTTATGTTGTTCCAAACCTGTACTGTATACTGTAATTTTTTTTTCTTTCTTTCTATATTTATACTTTTTTTTCTTATTATTTTTTAAGATTTTTTTTTTCTATGCAATGATTAGGTTCACAGTGACCGAACTCCAAAGAGGACAAAATCACTGTAAAAGCACCATAAAAGTAGTCCATAATAGGAAGGAGACATTTAAAGAAAAACTACACCTGAAGAGACTACAATTGAATTGAATTGAATGTTGAAAAGACCAGACTTTTTTGTGAATATTTTTGAAACGGGGGGTTTAGAATGACATGGGTGTGAGTAAATAATGACTGAAATTTGAATTAGTTCATTAATGTGATGTTTTCTTTTTATACATTTTTTCTCATTATGGTTTAACCCATTTAATTTCTTTAATTTGTATAATATTTTTCAGATGGAAAGTCAAAAGTTTTTAGCCGAGAACAGCGCGAGCGTGTACATAAAGAAAGTGGAGGCACGGATAAACGAGGAGATCGAGCGAGTGATACACTGCCTGGATAAAACGACGGAGGAGCCGATTGTGAAGGTGGTGGAGAGAGAGCTGATCTCCAAACACATGAAGACAATTGTAGAGATGGAGAACTCGGGCCTGGTGCACATGCTCAAGAATGGAAAGACAGAAGGTGCTCTATCCTCATCTATCATTGCGGTTGTTTTGCATCAGTAGTGTAGCTCAGTGGAATGAGAAGATTGAGCATTCAAACTTCAGAAGGATTATTTGTTAAAACACTTGAAAACTGGCTATATTTTAATGGGCCTTAGTACCTCATTATGGTTTAACCCATTTAATTTCTTTAATTTGTATAATATTTTTCAGATGGAAAGTCAAAAGTTTTTAGCCGAGAACAGCGCGAGCGTGTACATAAAGAAAGTGGAGGCACGGATAAACGAGGAGATCGAGCGAGTGATACACTGCCTGGATAAAACGACGGAGGAGCCGATTGTGAAGGTGGTGGAGAGAGAGCTGATCTCCAAACACATGAAGACAATTGTAGAGATGGAGAACTCGGGCCTGGTGCACATGCTCAAGAATGGAAAGACAGAAGGTGCTCTATCCTCATCTATCATTGCGGTTGTTTTGCATCAGTAGTGTAGCTCAGTGGAATGAGAAGATTGAGCATTCAAACTTCAGAAGGATTATTTGTTAAAACACTTGAAAACTGGCTATATTTTAATGGGCCTTAGTACTCTAAAAAATGTGTTTTATTCTAAGTGCAGCGCACATGAAGTTCAACAGGGTGTAAATGTAAAACAAATTCATTTGCTAAACGTGAACATTAAATATCAAACATAAAGCAGTAGTTCTTTACAGGTTTTTGCATTACACTGCGCTGCTTTTTCATCGTTTTTTTTATGTAGCCATGCTCTCGATGGACATGTTTGAACATTGTGCTCGCATCTTGCATCTTTTTCTAAAATGCGGCGCTCATTCCACTGCCTGTGTCTTGAGTTTGTCAATGATAAAAATGATAAGTTTAATCATTAACTGATATAATTGCACAGCAATTGAAATTTAAAGTGATTTCTGTGTGAAACTAGGCAGTCCACTATAACACTAAATACATAATCAGTCACATGTTATTGTAGTCATAGTTGTGACTTTGCAAAAACATGTTTCTGAAAGAACTGTTTTTGGAGCTTATTATGTATTAATTTATAAAAGGACAAAATAAATTGTAATTTATCACAAGCAAAGAAAAAAGCATTTGATAAATTAGAGATTTTTTTTGTTCCTAACTTCAAAATGAACCATTTAATGAGCATAAATAAAACATTCAGTGAACTTTAAATAGAAGATTAATAGAAAATTGACAGCAGTGGTCTGTGTGTGTGTGTGTGTGTGTGTGTGTGTGTGTGTGTGCAGATCTGGCCTGCATGTACAAGTTGTTCAGCAGGGTGCCGAATGGCCTGAAGACCATGTGTGAGTGTATGAGCTCATACCTGAGGGAGCAGGGCAAAGCTCTGGTGTCTGAGGAAGGAGAAGGCAAGAACCCGGTTGACTACATCCAGGTACCAGGATAATATCTTCACTTGCAGAACACATGAAATGTGGGAAAGCCTTTATGTCCAAACCTCCCTCTTTCTCTCTGCTTTTCTTTAGGGCCTTCTAGATCTGAAGTCACGGTTTGATCGCTTCTTGCAAGAGTCCTTTAACAACGACCGTTTATTCAAGCAGACCATTGCAGGGGACTTCGAGTATTTCTTGAACCTCAACTCTCGTTCACCCGAGTATCTCTCGCTCTTCATTGACGATAAGCTGAAGAAAGGAGTGAAAGGAGTGAGTCGTTTTCTCTGGTCACACGATTAGTGGACACTTTGCTCTGAGCCAATATAGAAAATCGAGCTAAGAATATTTATTTATTTTCAATCTTCATTTGAGCAATCCAGTATCAACTCTTAAAGAGGATTATGTGCAACAAAATTCCATATTTTGTAAAACCGGTCACATCACTTCCGATTCAGGTCTTTTATATGTGCTTCGTTAAATATAGAGCTGTTTTACTCAAGATGCTTTCAGGGGAGATGCCAAAGATGAGCATAACTGATGTCCATCACATATGCAGATTGATATCTAAAAGTTCTAAAAGTAAATCACTAACATTTAAATATTAAAAACAACAAACTGCAACAGCTAAAGGAACTAGCTTGGTTAAAGGGATAGTTCACCCAAAAATGAAAATTACTCCATGATTTACTCACCCTCAGGGCATCCTAGGCGTATCTGACATTCCTCTTTCAGACAAACACAATCGCAGTTATATTTAGAATTGCCTTTATTAACGTTTTTAGGCTTCAAAAACGGGCACCATTCACTGCCATTATACAGCTTGTAGAGCCAGGACAATTTTAAATATAACTGCGATTGTGTTCGTCTGAAAGAGGAATGTCAGATATGCCTAGGATGCCCTGAGGGTGAGTAAATCATGGGCTAATTTTTATTTTTGGGTGAACTATCCCTTTAACTGATTACCTTAAACGTCCATAGATATTGACGTCAGTTCATTCTGCTGATAACACTTTCTCCGTCAGCGGATTCGATGAGTTCTGTTTTTCTGTTTGTTCATGCGACGTTATAAATCAGTATTTTAGTGTAGATTGTGGATGAGTGAAAAGGAAAGTAGTTAAAACTCGAAACATTCCTGAATATTCCATACACCATTTTTAAAATGTGTGTCCAATATTAAAAATGGATGAGTTTCGGCAGCACCTTACGTCGACAGGGGTGAGATGCAGATGGTACTCAACCAGAATAAGTCTTTTGCCGCCTCAGTTACTGCTGCAAATCTGGACAGTTAGACTGTGTAGTGATTAGAGTGGACAGTTTGAATGGTGTTTAATTGGGTTTTCTTCTTAGGTGTCTTTAGGTGGTGTCGACCTCACAGTGAGGGTGCTAACGACAGGATACTGGCCGACACAGTCAGCGACTCCCAAATGTAGCATCCCCCCTTCACCAAGACATGCTTTCGAGGTCTTTAGAAGGTGTTGATTGCTGTTTTTCGCAGTACACTGTAAAAAAAAAAAAAAATTCTGTAAAATTTGCGGTAAAAAACAACCTTGTTCAGCAAGTTTTGCTTTGGTTGCCGGAATTTTACCGTAAAAAATACGGTAGCAACGGTTTAGGTTTTAACTTAGGTTTTACAGTTAAATACCATAATTTCATTAACTGATATAATGTTAATATACCAACCTATTGAAGTACTGAAATCTGTTTTGTAGCTTTGTAATACACTGATAACCACCAAATGCAGGAGGTGATGAGAAAGTCACATGATGAACCAAAGCCCATCACAAGCAGCTTTTAAATAATAACATATATAGAAGGTGCACAGTGTCCTGTAGCATTTTTACAGATTTTTACCGTTAAATTCACTGTAATTTTTTTACAGTGTAGTTTAGTTCCAGTTTTTATCTAAACTCATTTGGGAAGACCTTTGACTTTCAGAATCACTCCTGAGGTTTTGTGCATGCGCTCACAGCCACTCTTGACTCTTTGATTGCAGATTTTATTTGGCCAAGCACAGCGGTAGGCAGCTCACATTGCAGCATCACATGGGTTCAGCAGACCTCAATGCCACCTTCTATGGACCAATCAAAAAGGTAACAAGCCGTCACAAACTGTCAAAAGAATGTACTTGTCTTGCAATCTAACCTGTGATTGGGTCTTTCTTCAGGAGGATGGCTCGGATATGGTCGGTGGGGCTCAGGTCACAGGCTCTAATGCCAGGAAACACATCCTGCAGGTTTCCACATTCCAGATGACAATCCTCATGCTTTTCAACAACCGAGAGAAATCCACATTCGAGGTACTGCACTCGTGCCACATTTGGTAAAGTTTGGGCATTATCTCTGCTTTAGAAAAACATGTTTCATGTATGTATCCGTAAAATATAATCAATAGTTTTAGCGCGAACAAGTTGTCAGATTGCAATATAATAGTTACTTTAACATATTTAATGTGTGCTGAAAAGTTCTTTGTTAATGTTCCCATATTTAAAGTTGCCCGAGTCATTGCATACACATTTTTTGTATCATTTTGTTTATTAGTATTTTTTTATTATTATTTAGAGCATAATAAAAAATTTTGATAAATGAGATCTGAATGTAGTCTTTAAATCCAAAAAGTAGTGCTTGAAAGTCCTGAAATTTAATTTTAAACTATCTGTACAGACCCTGTAATTTTATTACTAATTTATCATGAAAATGAATGGGCGAGATACATTTTAAAGCTAGGAAACATAACTGACAGCTCTGTTCAAATGGAGTAAAGAACATCCCCAAACACACTATATACAAGGTACAGCTAAATGTCACATTTATAATAACGGGTTTATGTAAATTTTGCTTCAGGTTTACTTAAATGTTGTTGATAATGTTCGGTTTAGGCCTGGCTTTCAATTGTACACTCAGGGAAAAAAAAGGTACAAAAGCTGTCACTGGGGCTGTGCCTTTGAAAATGTACTAAAATGTACCATTTATGTAGTAGTATGCACTCATTAGGGGTAAATAAGATAAAGGTGTACCTTTTTCAAAGGTACCGCCCAAATGACAGCTTGTGTACCTTTTTCTGAGTGTACAGTGGCTATAATTACTAATTTTATCCCCAGAAATTGAAAAAATAATAATAATAGAAGCATCGTTACCAGATTAGGCATCAGTTGTTCTGGCCTTCAGTCATAGCACTTAGTATTCAGCCTGTACATTGTATTAAAATGGCATTGCTGTACTTTTCCCACAAGTCCCTGTTGTTTTTCCACTCTTGGCAGGAGATCCAGCAGGAGACGGATATCCCGGAGAGAGAGCTGGTGCGGGCGCTGCAGTCTCTGGCCTGTGGAAAGCCCACACAGCGAGTCCTCACGAAAGAACCCAAGTCTAAAGAGATCGAGAGCGGCCACGTCTTCACCGTCAATGACCAGTTCACCTCCAGACTGCACAGAGTCAAGATTCAAACAGGTAACGGTCAGCTTGAGCTGACTTAAGCCAAGACGACGTGTTCAGCGATAATGAAAACCCATACAAATACAATTTAGCGTTCATCTTCCAGATACTTGTAATAACAGTGTAATAACTTTTTTCTATTTTCATACATTTGTAAATTGTATTTATTATTGTAATAGCAAAGCTCCATTACTTCAGTGTCACATGATCCTACAAAAATCATTCTACAGGTTCAAATCACAGCTTTTACATTTACATTTTATTATGTTTGCATTGGATTACTTTTTCTTACACATACAGTTCTTTTTAAGATATATAATAAAAGATGGCTTCAGCATCCTGTTCCTCTGATATCAAGAATGCAGCTTCTCATGTTCACATTGCACCCTCTATCGTTCAAGTGTGAATTTGCATTTTTTTTCAGCCTGGTGCATATTCACTTTTGATCTTGGTGTTAAAGGACCATTTATTGGCTATTTTTGTTACAAGTACCTTTATTTAACATTATTTAAAATTCTAAATGATTATTCCTTTGATACTTATTTCTTCTTTAACTTCACGTATCATCTACCTCGTTACGTGTACTGTGCGTTCGGCTAACCGAGACTTGTCATTTGCACTTACATATTGTTGCTCTTTTATTAGTTTTGATTGCTTCTATTGTCCTCATTTGTAAGTCGCTTTGGATAAAAGTGTCTGCTAAATATAAATGTAAATCTGACTCTGTATATCTTGGTAATGGACCTTTTTCAGAGACTGATGCAGTTCCACAGCAGTTAACATCGTACATTGTTGTTGCTGTTGTTTTTTATATTGTACATTTTATAACACTATACTTTTGTGTTACATTACTTTGGATTTAAATTACAATTTTTCCCCCTATTTTGAAAAGTAATGGAAATGCAAGTTTTGTTTTTTTTTACCTTTAGGAACTAGGGCTGTCGCGATAACCGCAATATCGCAATACAATATCGCTATTGACGAGCAAACCGCAGAGGAATGCAAGAACCGCAGCAACCGCGATTTTTGCGTGTTTTATTTTTTCGTAAGGTTATGCCCTTCTCGTTTTACACTTCATGCATGTGGACTGAATATTAAACAAGTTAGTAATGATAACATAAAGTGTACCATGCTGATTTGTACAGAGGCTCCTTAGATTTGCACTTAACAAGCCTAAACAGACAGTGAATTAAAACTGCATACTATTGAGCCACTCTAAATTACCGCAAGGGAAATTCCCTCACCGCGACAGCCCTATTAGGAACTGTAGGAACAAACACAGGGTTTCCACGGGTCCTTAAAAGTCTTAAATTTAGTTGGATCAAATTTAAGGCCATAAAAAGTCTTAAATGGTACAAGAAAGTCTCAATTTGTGTAATGCCATTACCGGGGAAGCCGCTATATTTCTACCGTTCCGAAAGCGACACCTGCTGGCAGAGAATGAATTTGCATTTTCAATAATCCCTTCTGCTGTTTTTGTGCAGACCATTGCGAAAATCCCTAATAATCCCTATATAAATGCATCATTCATTCATTCATTCATAATCCCCTTTTACGCTGCAAATACGAGTTGTAAATGTGAACTGGTGGATTGACAAGAAGATAATGCATTATAAAAATCTTAACAATTAAGTAAAATATGTTTATATGTTATTTAATTAATATAATAATTGATTGATAATTGTTTAAAATAATATAACAATTGATACTTGTGACTTGTCCATTTTCTTAAAAATGGTTTAAAGGCTGAAATGTGAAGTTTATAATTTTATAAAACTATAAATGTTTTTGTGAAAATCTATATCTGAACTGTAAGTCATGATGTTTACAGTCATTATACAGTTCAATATGTTACCATAAACATTGCCCCACCCTGCTCATATGGTAATCATTTTATTTGCGCAGGTCTTAAAAAGTCTTAAATCTGAGCTTAAAAATCCTGCAGATAGCCTGAAACAAGAACGCACAAAAATATATTTGCTATGGTCTCCTATTCATGTAAACCATAGTAAACTTTTATTTCTGAGAGGTGATGGCATATACTTTACTTCTGATTAGTGAGCTTTTAATCACTGTATTTTTGTTCCTGTCCAGAAGCCTGGCTTATTAATTTGATGATCGGATGAGCTCTTAAACATACAGTGCTTTGCAACGTATGACCATTAGCACATAACGATTTTTATTATCAATGGCTGCCACTGCTTGAAAGTGCTGGAAAAGTGCTTAAATTTCACTTCTAAAAAACCTGTAAAGTGGCAAAGTTTAAGTAAAATTGACAATTATCAGATTTAGCATTGGCCATAACCAATGATTCAAAATTTGCTTTGAAATTCCATATCTGGGCATCCCTTTATTAATATATGTACTGTTAAAAGACCAAAATTGTTACATTTTTGAACATGTCGCTCATCCCTTATAAATGTCCTATTATGAGTCTGGATTGTGGTCTTCCTCACAAATACCGTATTTACGTTATACACCACAGTTTCATATAGCATCATATAGACCTACATCCATGCTTCTTTACTACAGTTCTGCTGGGTAATCATTTGGAAAGTGTTTTTCTCTAACCTGTGTGTGTGTGTGTGTGTGTGTGTCATCCCCACAGTTGCAGCCAAACAGGGAGAATCGGACCCTGAGAGGAAGGAGACACGACAGAAAGTGGATGATGACAGGAAACACGAGATTGAGGCGGCCATTGTTCGGATCATGAAGTCCAGAAAGAAGATGCAGCACAATGTTCTAGTAGCAGAGGTGTGGAGACTCATTTTACTGTGGAATAGATTAAGTATTTAAATATTATATATCTGTTTAAACATAGAAAAAATGTTTAGCCACACTTGAACACATTATTTGAGAATGACAGTGTGGTGTTGCTGATGTTTCTGGAGAACGTAAAGTAGAAAGTATTTGTTCCTGTTTCTTTGGACAGTTGTTTATAGAGCTTCAGTTTGATCCTGTGTGCTTTTGTCTTTAGGTAACCCAGCAGCTGAGGGCACGATTCCTCCCCAGTCCTGTGGTCATTAAAAAGCGTATTGAAGGACTTATCGAGAGAGAATACTTGGCAAGAACACCAGAAGATCGCAAAGTGTACACATACGTAGCATGAACAAGGAGCGCAATTAAATCTGGCATGAAAAATCGAGTGAGTACGCGAGCGTTGTTTTGGGACTTTGTTACACACCTCACATGGGATGTTATTTTATTTTATGCCCTTTTTTGCCTTTGTTGTCATTCGTACTGGGAATAAACTGAGAAGAAACCTCTCATCTTCTAATGAACTTGTTTTAAATTGTTCTTTTCGATTCCCACAAGGCTTTCCACTGGATTCAACACTTTTACAGAAGGTCTTGGTCTCTCTGAGAGATGTGATTTGTGTGTGTGTGTGTGTATGTGTGTGTGTGTGTGTGTCCTCACAAACCTACAACCGAATTAAAACCGTAAGCCACACAATTTCCCAGCATTGGATATCATTACGATCATTCATATCATTAAACATACCTTCTGAGTTATTTTCTTATATCTGTGTAAGTGTCTGCGGCACATTATTGGATGCACAGGTATTCGCCATCAGTGCTTTACCTGTAAGACTGTCAAATGTATCTGAGTGACAGAGAGGTGTAACATTTGGTTCAAAGCATGCTTTTACTGAAGACCGATGGAGTAACACTTACACAGCATATAATATGGTGGTTTGGCTGTCTTTTCTCTCTGTATGGCTATTTTTCCCTTGCCTTTTTTTATGTTTGTTTGTTTTTTCATGTCTAACATGGCCAATTGTAAAAGATGACTTAAATGTGTTTTATTTTGATGGGTCCTTTGAAAGCAGTTTAGACGGGGATGGGGCGCAGTTTGTGTTTTCAGCATTATTATATTTCAATGTGTATAAATTGTAAAATAATTGTTATTGTATTCAATGCTGAAGTGAACTGTACAGGGCCTTGTTTTCATCATTAAATGTAGAAAAATACAGGAAAAAAAAACAATAAAATGATTGGCCGTTTTGGGTCAGACCGTTTGTCTTGTTCTGATTTTCCCAATGGAGGATCCTGGTAGGTTGGACATCAAATCTCAAGCAGTGATAGCAGTGTGACATTATGCATATCAACTGAACTTTCAGCTGTTTTGTAATTGTTTTTATTCACGTATATTCACGCACTTTAGATTTGGTAAATGACCGCTCAAACATGCTTACTTGATACAAAAGAGCCAATGAGGTTTGGTCCCTTTCGAATGGAAACTTGCACTGTGTCTTCTAGTGGACACTATGGTGAATGTCCCTGGCATGACCAGTGTCTGAAGCACGTGTCTAAACACAACAATGTACTTGACATTGGCTGGCGACAGCCTATGGCATCACTACTAGCGCGACCGTGAGTATAAAAGGGCACATGTAGAGCACGTCCCAGTGGGCAATGGATGTTAAAAAAGACATCAAATTGACATCAAAATTTGTCAAATATGCAAATCAAACTGACGTCAAAAACCTGACCTGACGTGACATTGATTTGATTTAAGTTGAACGTCAAACATATTGGCCTACATTAAATCAATTTCAGTGTGGGATTAACTTCCTATTTTCAGGTGGTTACCACTGGAAAAAATAGCCATCCAAACTGAAATTAAAGTGATGTTACATTGTCTTGATCAAGTCTTGACTAATATTTGATGTCAAATTGATATTGAGGTGCCTGCTGGAGTCATCCTCTTTGTCTTCGGGAGCCGTTTGTTTGTGGTGTATCTAGGCAAGCAGCTATGGATGGCACCAGTGTTAATTGTTTCAGGAAGTGTGTTCATCCAGGTATTTAACACCTGATGATTCACACGACCTGTGCGTTATTTGCATGGGCGAGAAGCATGCACGCTCAGTCCTCGAGGGTACTGAATGCATGCATTGCGATGGTTTTTCCTTGGAGAAGCTTTGCTCTTGTTTGTCCCTTTTGTCATCCTCAACTCACTGATCCGGACATGCTGAGGCAAGTAGAAAACTGAAGTCATGGGGCTTGCAGTTGGAGCTCACCAAGGAGTTCGAGAAAGGTATGGATCTTTCTCATTATTCGGTGGGAGATGCTCTGCTGGATGAGGACGTACTGTCTCTTTCTGATCCAGAAGCCAAGCCAAGAAGAGCGGGATGTGAAGATATTAATGAGTCTTCACAGCCTGCCTGCCCTGCGTACGAGGAGTTGCTTGAGGTTATGTCTCATGCCACAGAGAGATTAAATCTGCCTTGGAGGCATGAGAAACTTGAGATTGCTCGAGTGATTTCTTTCTGACATAATCCTCCGACCTTTATACCGTGCTGGATTGGGTCTGTGCCTTGAGCCTCTAGGGGACCTGGCCCATTTTGGTCTGAGGACCAAGTAGTAATAATTTGTTAGACTCTCTGCAAGCCTCCTTGGATACTGCCTTTACGGAGGAGTGTTGTTAGGTTTCCTTTTGCCATAGAGAGTCGTTCCACTGAGGCTTCTGTTCTCCTGAGCTCCGCCTGGTTAATAAGCAATGTAAGGCCCGTAGGAAACTCTTTGACAGGCATAGCTAGGCATCCACTTTTATAAAGAGTTGTCTTGCTGATGCCTCCGTCCTTTGAGCTCAGTTAGGGGCTAGGTTGCTAGGCTCTCTGTGAGCCTCCCTGGATATTGCCTTTAAATTGGGAGGGTTTCTAGGCCTCCTCTTGCTTTAGAGAGTCATTCTGCTGAGGCTTCCAGTACCCGGAGCTCCGCCTGTGTCGCAGTTCTGAGTTATTAGGCTCTCTGTGAGCCTCCCTGGATATTGCCTTTAAATTGGGAGTGTTTCTAGGCCTCCTCTTGCTTTAGAGAGTCATTCTGCTGAGGCTTCCAGTCCCCGGAGCTCCGCCTGTGTCGCAGTTCTGAGTTATTAGGCTCTCTGTGAGCCTTCTTTGAAAGCTGTTCTGAGCATCAGACATAGCAAGGCCTCCTCTCGCTTTAGAGTCGTTCATTTGAGGCCTCCATTCTCAGAGCTTCAGTCATCGAAGATATTCCCTTAAAGGCGTTCTCTGGAATACCAAAGCCTTGAGCTTTGCCCCTGTGCTGAGCTTCTTTTTGACTTGGCCCTGATAAGGTATGCAGCTCGGGCTTTGGCTGTAGAAAATTAAGTCACGACAGCTGCAGGTGAGTTCCTGAGGGAAGACTGGGACTCCTTTAGAGTCTTTGACCGATAAGGCATGGCGGAGTGGTTATTTGTTCCCCACAGTGTCCTCTAGAGCAGTGGTTCTCAAATCTGTCCTGGGGACCCCCAACCACTGCAAACTGTGTTTGTCTCCCTCATAAGCCACACCCAGTTCAAGTCTTGCAGACTCTACTAATCAGCAGATGAGTTGAATCAGGTGTGTTAAATGAGGGAGACATACAAAATATGCAGTGTTTGGGGGTCCCCAGAACAGCTTTGAGAAGCAAAGTCACTTTAGGATGGTTGTCACGTTTTTTTACTAAGTCACACAAAATATCTCAGACTCTTGAAGTTTGAAAAACGACCTATGTACTCTTATCAACTCATGAAGAACAAGAATAGATTATTCCAAAATTGGCCAAAAGTATCTACCTTCTTCTAATTAAGAGGTTAATTAAGAGCTGTTCAGTTATTTCTGTCAGGACAAGTCATAATGCCAGTTACATATACAGTGATGCTATTCTGGTTTGGGGGCCCTTTCCTATCCCAGCCTGACAACAGATGCCCTTTTTTAACTATTAAATGCCAATTTGTTTATTTAAAAGAGAAGAAAAAAAATCAATGATTTTCCATATTTCCATATTTTCCATATACTAAATGCTAAGCATATATATATATTGTAACAGTTACAGGTTATTACAGTCTTGGGTAAGTATTTGCTCCAAAGGCCAAAGCTGAGAAAATGGTGGAAAACAGTAACAATTTGAACCATTTTATAAATGGTAAAATGTTAAACCTTTGCTGACAGACAAGGATGCGTGATTTTATTCTTAAATGGCACTGAGATTAAATATTGCAACTTGAGTTTCAATAAAGTCGAAATAATGTGCAATGAGTTTCAATGCAACATTTTTGTCCGTAAAGTCGTGAGTATAACTGTTTTGTACTTACAGTTAAACTTATAGAAGGAAATGAGGTTGAAATATAACATTTCAAATAAAGATGCACATTATTTCCCTAAGGATGCACAAGGGTTGCATTTTCTAGATGCCATTGCACCATACATATTTACCCTTTCAAAAATTACAGTAAAGCAAACCTGCAGCTAGAAAGGATTGGGCTTTGTTTTGATGCAAAATTCGCTTTTATGACTGATTTATTAATTAATTAACATATAAGGATGCAATGCACGTCCCTCAGTTTGGGTGCAATTAAGCTCTCTGTTGTCCAGGACTGCACACTACTTGAGAAGCTTGTTTAAAGTGTGTGTCCCACACAGGTCCGATGACAGCCATCTGCTGGGGTTCAGGCCCCTCGATTCCTAGAGAGAAAGCCCTTCCCCCGACTCCTCATATTTGAGCTGTGTTCTCGAAACACATGATCCAGTGATGGAATCGAAATGAGCTTTTCAAATTATATTTTAGATTTTCAGCTAGAGTCCGTCTGATCATCATCATACATTATAAAGGCTGTAAAGTGATATAAAGTGACGTCAGCGTGAACTCGACTCCTGCGAGCGCAAACAGGGTTTATAAGCAAAGCTCATGTTTAAAGCGGGTTTTTGCACTCAAGTGAAGGCAGATTATGCTCTGACAGCCGCTTGGCTTCACGAGCAGCAGCAGGACCCGGGCGCGGGGACCGCGGGGTGAGTGAGTTAGCGGAGAAAGCTAAACAACAGCTCGCTTTTGTTTGCAGGAGAAACACAGTGCCGAATGCTTTGTGACGTAAGCAACAAACGATACATTCTAACACTTCAAACATATTTTGATCTTCAAAAACGTGCCATTCAATGTGGATTAGGGTACATCATCTAAATGAGACTACTATTTATTATTCATTTGTATGTAACCTGCCAAGTGTTGAAGGACCATGAATTCAACTTTTTTAAGTTTTTTAACTCGGTTCTCTTTAGGAACTGATGAAAAAAAAAAAAAAAAGTTTCAGGACCTTTAGGTGTCTATATGGCTTTTCTGTTTTTGATATTGTCAAACGTAGTGCCATATTTTTTACTACTTTTATACATTTTTCACAATTTGGCTTAACTTTGAATGTGATATTTTACATGAAAAATAAAAAGAAACTACTTTTTGAATGAATACTAACTTATACAAAAAAAAAAATCCAAACATCCTAGAAATAAAGTTGGAGACATCCATCCAAAAATATTTTTGAATATACACATTGAAAGAAAAGTTAAATCACAGATTGTATAGCAACACCACACATTTCAGTGTTTTTCATCTCATCTCTAACGTTCAAATCATTCCTTAGCAGGGTAAATTCTGTGTAATATTTTAAAGGATACCTCTCTGTTATTTATAAAAACTGTTATTTTCTGATAGATGGATATCAGTTGAACAGTATTACACTCATTATAATAACTGTGCTTATTCTTTTCTTTAGATCTGACTGCAGTAAAATGTCCTGCAGTAGCAGTGAGTCCATTTTCTTTGTTTAATGTTCTATCAACAGTCAGGCTTGTTTTGCCATCTGTGATTAGATTTTTCCTCACCGCTCTGTCTGTGGCTTCCTCTGCTCTTTGTTCAGCTGACCTCTCGGCTGTCCCGGGTCAGGAGCTCCTTCTGCTCACCATGCACCTACCCGCCCACCCCGGCACCTCGCTGCTCCTCCAGCACACTCTGGACCGCCTGCTGAAGTGGGTCCATCCCGGCCTGCGCCTCTTCCACGTGTCTGAGCGGGCCTGTCCTCTTCATGACCACACCAGAGCTAACCAGCACCTGGCCACCCCTCACACGCCGTCACCATATTCTTACACGAGTCTTACGGAGAGGAACGCATTCTCAGAGTACTGGACTTCCTGCAGTGTCCGCCCTGGCAGTACCACCATACGGAGAGCTGCGGCACCAGAGAGGCCGGCGTTCACGTT